CTTCCTGCTTCATGAGCAGTCCCAGCCAACTTCATCACTTACGAATGATTCCAGACAAAGTTCAACAACTCTCATGCACATGCCTAAGAAGCAATCCTTTCTTCAAGCCATTGCATCACAATAATGTCCTGTGATGTTGGACAGTAAAGTTGGACAGAACTACAGCTGGATGCTCAGCTTACTAGGGCAACAGAGTGAGGACCTGTTATACACAGTCCATTTCTCATATGTAATAGTGCATCTGTACCAGCAAAGCAAGGAAAATGTGTTCAGTGAAGAACTGTCTTGTGCTGTTCAGTTGAGAGTGGTAATCACCATGACTCCCCACCCAAACATCATTAAGTAAATCTGTCCATCATCACGGCACTATGTTGTAGCATCAATCAATGGTACCTGAGAAGAATGTGACAAAGGAGGAAAGTACTAAGGAGGTTTCCTGGGAGCATAACTGTTCTCTGAATTGTCTCTACAAGCAAAATAGTCACTTTAAGGAGATCTCTGCTCAGGCTAGTCTCCTAAAGGTCTCTTTCACAAATCAATGTCTTTGCTGTGAAACATCCTGTGTTCATAATGTCCGAGATAAGCAGAGGCACTGTGACCATGACTGGAGGCTTTCTACCATACACCATTTAGGAGCACAGCAGAGCCAGGTTAGGTGAAGGCATGATACTTGCCACAGCCTCTGGCATGAGATCCCTTTCACCACAGGGAAAACTCACCAGGTAAATAAGGGACAGAAACCACAGGGTGATTTTCCTCAAGCCTCTCATTTGTTTTTCACACTTATTACACAGTCCACCACTATCTTCCTGCCTACACAACAAACTCCAGGGCAAGGAAGCCTCCAATCTGGGCAGTTACTTTAAAAAAAAAAATTGTTTCTCTTTCCTGAATGATTAGGGCAAAGCCTTCATACCAGACAGAAGGAGTCTATGCTCATTACTGTAACTTGACAGCTAAGGCCAGCACTGTTCCCAGATGTAAGAAATGCTGTAAGAAATGTTAAGATTCCAGCCATCCACAAGAATTCAGATAGTGAGAAGGGAGAAATGCGTTCATTACCCCAAAGTAGGTAAAGGAAACTGCTGCACTACTCCAATTTATCTGTGAGCAAAATGAGCTGACCCTTTACTCAGCCTATTGTAAGTCTTCAAGTCTTGGGACTAGTGGCTCTGGTACTGAAGTCCGCCAGCTCTCCTGCTGTCTCTCTCCCCACCTCTCCTCACCACTTCTGCTAACCTTCCTCTATTCACAGGCTAACTCTTGCCTACTTATTATCATTCTCAACATACTGGGCCTGTTCATTTCACCAAACATAATCTCTTTGGAGCTGAACTAGGTGTTCAATATTTATATGTTGATCGCAACCGTAACATAAAGTACAGCAGAAATTGTAGAATGACAGATGACACTTTGCAGACGTTAAGTAAGTAAATTACTTTATTTGGGAATACATTCGGTGTGCCTAGGGGTTCTGGCCAATATGAAATGAAGCTGTAGAGGGACTCATTGCTAAATAAATTTGATTTTGCCAAGAAACAGAGAAAGAGCGTAAGATTGACTTGGTTGGTATTCTTGGTGTATGTAACAAGTTTTAGCAGCTACCTCAAACTTGCTGTTTATTTAAAGCAGGTGCTAAACATCTTTGGCCATCTCACTAGAATTGTCAATCCCTAGCTGACCTTCTTGTGTCCTTTTTGGATATCTAAACCTCCAGGCAGCCTTCAAGTCTTGTAATAAACCAATGCTTTCAAATGCTAAGGATTCTTAATAAAACATGTAAAAAACATTTGGGTAGCAGAAGACAGAGTTAAGAAGGGACACGACACTGTCCATTTTAGAAATGTTTGTTGAGGATCCACCATGGCCAATCATCTCTGGTGCTCTTATTTCAGCCTTGAACCCTTCCAGTTATTGTGGCACCCTTTGGGTGAGCAGCACCTGTTATCCCTGTGACACTGCTGATGCTAAACACAAACCAGCTGCAGTGAGAAGAAGCATCGCCCATCACAGAATATACCCTGCTATTCTAAGGATTCATCAGAGACCTCCATTAACCCATCATAGTTTTTGGTACCAGCCACATTTCAGAAAGGGTGACAGTTGGTGACCAGGCTGTTAGGCTAATCACTTACTTGCTTGGCCATGCACTAGGAGTGAAATCATTTTTATTTCCCTCCTGAGCTGCTCATCTACATCCAACTTCTACACCAAAAAAGCAGGGCATGGGAGGAGGGCAGTGGGAGGCAGGCATCTGGTGGTTGAATGCACCAGGAGAGATGAGAAGCCTTCATCATGATGCACTTTCTTGCAGGCCAAAGGCCACCACCCTGATTGACTCTTGAGGACACAGACAACTTCTGGAGTATACCTAGAACAGGAAATAATTAATTTTTTTCTCTACACACATTTATTATTTTATCTGGAATGTATCATATATGAGCTAGTCTTTATGTCCTTCCAGTTTGTAGTAATTCGTTCAGAGAATGTTCAACAGCAATCAGCTGCTATTGCTCTCTGGCTGATGTTTATCAGCAATTACAAATCATCATTGTTGACTTCTTGGAAAGCTGAATTGCTAGCCCAAACTGAACATGTTATAAAGGCAAAGCATGAACTAATTATAACACAAAGGAGAAATTGTTATTGAGATAGTTTTTGCCGTTTTGCTCAATAAGCAAAATTTGACCTTTTTAAGTGCCTTAAACATCTTCCTTTTGAAGAAGCTACCATCTTTCAACAGATCTGAGAGCTGTCTGAAGAGGCTGCTCAAGGTTCCCATTTCACTGCAGACACTCCAGAATGATTTATAGGTTCCTCTCTGCTCAGTCAACTGCTGCTTCCCCTTTCTCAAGCAGTAGTGCAGTAGTTTTAGCGTCAGTAACTGTTGCATGTGTGGACACCCTCAAAATGAATAAAGAGGCAAAATGAAATAGAATTAGACACAAGGTGAGAGGCATTTCAGTGATGGATAGATCTGTAGTATTAGCTTTGGCTTTGTAAATGTATGGGTGAGATTCAATTCCAAACTCAAATAGCCATATATGGTGATCTTCATGC